AAGATATACAAATGGCCAACAGACATGAAAACATGCTCAACATCACTCATTATCCGGGAAATACAAATCAAAACCACACTGAGATACCATCTCACCCCAGTTAGGATGGCTAAAATCCAAAAGTCTGTGAATGATAAATGCTGGCAAGATTGCAGAGAAAAAGGAACTCTCCTACATTGTTGGAAAGGAACTCTCATACATTGTTGGTGGGACTGCAAAATGGTGCAGCCTCTATGGAAAATGGTATGGAGGTTCCTCAAACAATTGCAGACAGATCTACCATATGACCCACCTATCCCACTGCTGGGAATATACCCAGGTGAATGGAAATCATCAAGTCGAAGGTATACCTGTTCTCCAATGTTCATCACAGCACTCTTTACAATCGCCAAGAGTTGGAACCAGCCCAAATGTCCATCATCTGATGAGTGGATATGGAAAATGTGGTATATCTACACAATGGAATACTACCATGCTATAAAAACGAATGAAATACTGCCATTTGCAACGACATGGATGGACCTAGAGAGAATTATATTAAGTGAAACAAGTCAGGCACAGAAAGAGAAATACCACATGTTCTCACTTATTTGTGGGAGCTAAAAATAAATAAATAAATTCACACACAGAAAAAAAACCGAGGGCGGGGGGCAAAGAAGACACAACAATTACAATTCCTTAAAGTTGACAGTACAAGCAAACAGAAAGGACATTGTTGGGTGGGAGGGGAGAGAGGGAGGAGGGAGGGAGGTTTCGGTAATGGGCCACAATAATCAACCACATTGTATGTTGACAAAATAAAATTTAAAAAAAAAATTTTTTTTTAATTTTTAAAAAAAAATTTTTTTTTAATTTTTAAAAAAAAAGAGTCCTGGAGATGGATGGTAGTGATGGTTGCACAACCTTATGAACTTACAGAATCCCATGGAAATGTATACTTAAAATGGGTTAAGATGATTATTTTATGTTTTGTACATTTTAATATAATAAAAAAAATGGGGGGCAATCCTTGAAAAAGGAGGGTTTTTTGTTTTTTGTTTTTAACAGTTTTCATTGTGTTTCTGACTCGT